AGCCAAAGCACGTGCGGTATCTGCGCGACATGCCGCTCATGCTGCGTATACCCGCCCTACCGCACGCATCAACAGCTCGGCATCAGCACAAAGATCGCGTTGCCGAGGACGTCATTGTCGTCCACGCGGGTGTCGTACCACATGTGCCGCTGGAGAAGCAGGACCCGTACTTCGTCATGAACATGCGCTCCATCGACGACCGCACGCACTTGCCTTCTGCCCTGCGAGAAACGAAGAGAGGCAAGTCACGACCCTGGATGGAGATCTGGAACTGGTACAATGACCGGCTGTTCCGTGGACGCTCGCTCAAGGGTTTCCATCTCTACACCACGGCTGAGTACGAAGACGAACAAGCATCGGAGAGCCAAGGTTGGCTCGGCAGTCTCTGGGATGGATTGTTCGGCAAAGGGAAAGCGAAGATGACGCCGCAGATCGTGGTGTATGGCCATGATAGCAAAGCCGGCTTGCAGATGCATAGATGGAGCAAAGGGCTTGACTCCGGCTGTGTGGCTGGTGGCAAGCTTACTGCGCTGGTTTTGGATGCGAGTGGGAAGACGGAGGTTGTGCAGGTTGGATGCAAGAACTACAAGGCATAACAGGCGGCGTAGCACTGCTACTAGTATATAGAGGATGCCTATTTTGGCTGCATGCACTCGTGGTGTATCTTGCTCTTTCCTTCCGACATGGTGTTTTGTCACTGCCACATCTTTTTGGAAGCGTATACGCCTCCCTTAAGGCCGGACACACCACTCCAGTCGGCAGCCCTCTCGTGGAACATACCGCAGAACGCCGAGGCACTATGGCACTTCAGAGCGCTTTCGGTGACTTGCCGCACGCTCAGAGAGGATGCCAATCGACTACGGACTCCAACTATGACTCCTACTCATCACCCTGCACGCACGAACGCTCTTCGGCGTCACAGAATCGGCCGCCGCCACCACCAGTCTGTTCAATGATATCTGCGATATGCTGCGCGATCATGACAAGCAGGCCACAGACGCCGCTGACAATGAAGCCGAACAGATGCATCTTGGTGTGGGCTTGAGCGAGCAGCCATTCGCCGCAGAGGGCGATTCTACAGTTCCGCTACAAGACTCGTAATCATTCCCGCGAGAAACCACTGGGGTTTAGCAAGACAGACGTCTGCCGTCCGGTTGCATTGTTCGAAGTATGCGATTTGCCACGGTCTCTAAAGAGTTACAGGTGTGGCAAGTACTGGTATGCTTGTGCTAGTGGGAGTTGTCTGGAGCAAACACCACTGCTTTCTTGATGCAGGGCGAAACCAGACATAACAAGAAGTACCCAGGCGCACTGTGTCTCTCCATTCTAGACGGCGCCTAGGGGTAGGTCGTACAAAGCTATTCTCTGCTTGCCCACGACGCTCTATCTGGATGACACGCTCAACTGGTCTGAGAGCCGGAGATGTTCGGTACATCCATTGCCAGACCAAGGACATCAGGGCGTATGCTGTCTTTCTCCGCTCCACGCCCGAAGGCCTTACCAGCAACAGGGAGCCATCAGCACATCAAACGATGCTTCACATCCAAGCCCATCGACGCGTGGAGACAGCAGGCCGTGACAGCAGTGATGCGAGCAAGCAATCCGAACAGCATGGCTCACGACACCAGTAACCCCAGACAGCCCCTAACTACTGCAGTCGACTCCGATGCGCAATTAACCGATCTGTATGCGGGAGCTTCTACGCCAGCCTTGCCGCACACCTCCAGGCCCATCCAGGACCACGAGGCTCTCGCCAGTCAGGTCGAGCTCCTCTCGTAGAGGACACCACGCTTTCTGTTCGTGTATGGTGGCTTCGCGCCGGAGGCTACATTGGGTTGAACACCGTCGACGCAATCACGCCTTCCGCATTTTTCCAGTGTGCTGGGCCGGCTAGCATTTATGAAATGTCATTGCGTGAGGTTGCGTGCTTTGTCACGCACCACATGACCAACACCCAAGACCAACTTGTCAAAACAATCTTCTCGTCATGGCCGCACTCGTTCCCCTTGGCCCTTTCTTGGGCCAGGAACAAAAAGCTGTCACCTGAAGAGATGGCTGGCGGAAACACCGGTATTCACATCAGCATTATCGACATCAAACGGCTGGGCAAACGGAACATCGTCTTGCCAATATCGGCTGCCAAGCTGATCGCCGACAAGGTATCGTATTTCGAGTACGAGTACTTTGCGTTTGGAAAGATATCTGGACCTGCCCGCAAGGCACTGTCGTACGATACCCTCCTGAGTCATGGCATCAACCAGCTCAGTTCACCCGACACGACCTGGGATTTTTTCCCGGCGCGATACCCAGATACGAAACAACGCAGACTCAACGGTCTGGAAACAGACTTGGATTATGCACACAGCGTCGGGAACGCGTTCGGATCCGGCTTTGCGCTTGCGGTAGCAACAAATATCATGGCCGGCCGCAAGCGCAATGCTGACGAGCTTGGCGAGATCGTTGAATATCTCTCGAAGTTCTCTGTGCCGGACGAGTGGCGCGGCGACCCTGTCGTTGGCTCGGAAGAACTCGATCTTGGCCATGTCCGGGAAGCGCAACGTGCAGAGCATCTGCGACGACTGATGGTGGAGCATGCTGATGCTCCAAGCGGCCATAAATGTGTTGCGCTTCCTCTCGAGATCGATGCGGGCGAGGCTGCGTTGCAGGATGAAGATGCGAAGGCAGACATGGCAAGATGGGCGAAACATTCGGAGGTTCACAAGCGTCTAACGGCTGGTATGGCGAGGTGGAACTGGAGCTGGAGGAGGTGGTAACGAGCAGACTATCAGTGCCGCACTTGTCACTTGCACTCAGCGTGCATGTGGCTGAGACGAGGAGGTGTATGGTGAGTCGGAGCGACTGTCTCATGATACATATGTAAACACCCTCAGTGAGACAGTGAGACAGAGAGCAAGCTCAGAAGTATCGTTCCATATATCTTTGCACTTTCTCGCTCGCAGCCTCCTCTTTCGTGACACTACCAGTGATCTGCAACTCATATAGCACGCCCAGATAATAGCCATCACGCCGAAACAGAAGACTACGAGCGAGAACAAGCCGAGGAAGACCAAAGCACGACTAGAGTGCGACTTGGTCAGCATGCAGCTCACGACCAAGCAGGAATCCGCTGCTAAAGCCAAGCTGCGCGGACTGATTTTAAACATTTCTACGCGTACGCCACGCTTCTTGTTCCGCGTATGGTCTAACTCTTCTGGTGGCGAAATCAAGCTCAACACAACCGAGGCCATCACACCCCTCGCCTTCCTGAAGGGCAAAGGACCTCCAACCATCTACGACATATCTCGCGAAAAGATCACCGGGCTAGCTGTCGGCCACCTTACGGGACTCCAAATCCACACTGTGTTCTCTTCATGGACGCACTCGTTGCCGTTAGTCCTGGCATGGGCGGCGGTGGGACGCCATAGTCCAACTGCTCAAATTAGCATCATAGCCACAAAGGGACTGCACGAGCGCAATGTCGTGCTGTTTACGCCCTCTATGCGGCTGATCTCCGACAGGATCCCGTCACACTACGATTATGAGTTCCTTGCGTTCGGAGTCTTTTCAGGTGAAGCGTACACGGCCGTTCCATACGCGGGAGCTAGCGAAGCTCAACATCGACAGCCTTCTCCGCGGCAACACATCCGCAGATGGGTACCTGTACGCGTCGGAAGCCGAACTTGCGCATGCCCGTTCGATGGGAACCTTCACGATCAACGGTACCAACCACGCACCAGATATCGCAAATGCTCTTCGCCTTAGCCAGGACATAGCGAAGCTGTTTGGCCCAGATTTCGAACTTCCCGTCATGGCGTACTCGATGTCATGTCGCGCACGTAGTGATGCAGATATTGCTCAGATCATCGAGACATTGTCGTCGCACGAGGTGCCTGTCGACTGGAGCTCCGACTTGACCATCGTGACGGACGCTTGCGAGACCGGCGAGTATAGCGAAACCGAACGTGCCATTGGCCTGCTTCGAACACTGGCCGAAATGCAGCACAGTGGTGACCCAATGCCGCCGACGCCAGCGCCAAACCAGGACATGTCATTCTTGCGTGTCGGCCAGATCCTCCCAATGCCAGCTGGTATCAACCTCAAGAGCAACAGGCTGCCGACGCCAACGCCTAACCCGGAGGTGTCATTCTTGCGTGTCGGCCAGATCATCTCAATGCCAGCTAGCATCGACCTCAACAGCAACAGGCCTGAAGTGGGCCCAGTGGGACCGCTGCGGATCGCGCCTCTCGGAGCGCCGCTGCAGTATCAGCAAGGGACAGTGGGTCCTACGCAAGTGCACGGTGGGGATGCTCACTTGCAGGCGCCGAGCAGCGGTGGACCTGTGCAGATGCCGAGCAGAGGCGGACCTGTGCAGATGCCAAGCAGAGGCGGGTCCGTGCAGATTCAGGGCGGGACCGGTCCTGTACAGACACTAGGGCGCCGTGGGCAGACTCGTGGGCGGGCGCAAGGGCAGACTCAAGGCAGTGGGCAGGCGTAAGGTGTTCCTCGTTATAATAGGGGTGGAGGTGGCGGTGCAAGTGTGGACCTATCCTACCCAACGCGGGTGAGGCGAGGAACTTAGTGTATGGTCGAGACTACGACGAGCTACGTACACTGTGGTCCTACTGCCGTGGCAGATGTGAGCTGGAAAGAACTGCATTTGTCTTGAGAGGGTGTCAAAAGGCTGTCTGGGACTGACGATGGGATCAATCCGACTTCGTATCTTCCCGACTATCCCTATTCAAAACAGCCTAGGTAATGGCACTCGCTTTGAGAACTTCATGCCACATCATGAATCAGTGACTTGTCGCCAGGAATACCAAGCAACGAGTACGATATTTGACAGAATACGACAGAATACGGAAGAAAAGCACAAACAAAATTACAGCTTTTGAATGAGTGGCTCCGATTATCGAGATATCTTCTAAATTTACACCAAAAACCGAAAAAAAAAATCAGCCTTGTGAAGGGCTTTAATTATCGACAATTCCGCAGAATTCAGATACTCTCACCGGGTTTCGAACCCGGGACCTTGTCCGTGTGAAGGACACGTCATACCACTAGACCATGAAAGCCGATACTGTTGGATGAATCCAATCGTAGGTGTATGTTTCAGTACGAAAATTTTATATCTTATATACTGTAGACATTTTTGGCATCATGAGTCGTTCTTTCCTCCCACATCTCAACGTGGGAATGAAGTGAATGCTGTTCCTACAGTTCCGCGATCTCCTAACTTGTGTTGTCCCATGACCTCTGGATTCGCACGCTTTCCAGCTTCTTGGTAGACTATTGAAGACTTCCTCAATTCGCGACACCTTGACCACTGCCCATGGCGACCTTCAACCTCCCTCACTCCAACCCACCATGCGCGATCCACCTCACCTGGGATCTGTCAGAAGACCAGCTACTGGCATTTCCAGCATTCAAGACATGGTCCAACACACTCCTCCACTCGCTCTCGCTCCAGACGAACGAACGCCATGAGTTCCACAAAGCGCCCTACAAGCTGCGCTCCATCAACATCCAAAGCGTAGACTGGTTCGGCTCTGGTGAGAAGAAGCGACTGGGCTTTATCAAGCTGCAAGCAGAGATCACGAACGATGAGGGTGCATACCTACCTGGGGCGGTCTTCATGCGCGGTGGCAGCATTGCTATGCTGCTCATACTCCAACCAGACGACGTCCCAGCAGACCAAGAGAAGGACAAGCACGTGCTGCTCGCAGTCCAGCCACGCATAGCAGCTGGCAGTCTCGGCTTCGTCGAGATACCTGCAGGTATGCTGGACGATAGCGGTACATTCTCCGGTGGCGCTGCCAAGGAGATAGAAGAGGAGACCGGGCTCAAAGTCGACGCGGATGAACTGCTCGACATGACTGCGCTTGCTATGGACGGGGAGCAGACTGAAGAGAAGCTGCAGAAGGGCATTTACTCTACTCCAGGCGGCTGCGACGAGTTCATCCCCATCTTCTTGTACCAGAAGCGCATCCCGCGGTCTGACCTGCAGGAGTTTCGAGGCAAGCTTACAGGGCTGCGGGATGAGGGTGAGAAGATCACACTCAAGGTTGTGAAGCTGGAGGATCTGTGGCGAGAGGGGGCGAGGGATGCGAAGACGCTGGCTGCTTGGGCGCTGTATCAGGGTCTGAAGGGTGAGGGCAAGATTTGACGTGGCTATGTCTCATGACTGCAGCTTTTGCGAGCGTTCAAGCATGGCGTTGGAGGCATGTCAGCAGCGAACGAGTGCTGCGTACATCGTAGCTGCTGCTGAGGGAGTAAACAATGCCGGTAGTCAGTTCGGCGAGCCGGCCGGTGGATGACCTAACCGGTCGAGAGGTATAAGGTAGCCACGCTCTGTGTTACGCGGTACCGTAAAGCCACTCAGAAGGAGTGGTGACAGTACCTAGGCATCTGCGCAGCATAAATCTTCCACCAAGCACTAGAGATGATGTTCTGCTGACCAACCCTGCCGGTCACGAGAGCACTCAATCGTCTTCCTTGTACCAATTACAATGACCAGACCCGGCCGTCATCTTATAAGCTCGCACGGCCGGCAAACCACGTCTCACCTCGGTACATTGTCCAAGCTATCGTTATGGCTACGATAATTTGCTGATGCAACATTCCCCGCCTTCCAGATACTGAGACTGTCACAGTGTCACCGCACTGTCAAGCTCACGACAGCTGGTCCGGCACTGTTCCCGACCAAATAAACGGATGCTAGCTACATGTATGCAGGATATAGCAGGGAAGCTCTTCGCAAGTCATCGTCATGGCTGTCATCTCCGCATCTTGCATGCAGGAACCGACTCGTCTCCGCCTTTGGGTGATTGGGGAGGACTGCTGACAGGCACACTTGTATGGATGCAAGTATCAGTGGGCATATAAAGTGCCCTCGCGCCACTCGCGGTGGGTGCTCGTCTGTAACAGTAGGTCATTGCTCATCATGCTGCTCTCTTTCCTCGCTCTCGCGCTCTGCGCAGCAGCTTCGCCGGCAACATATAATGCACGACCTTATGCGAACGTTGGGAAGAGACAGGCATCATACGGCAGCAGCTCTTTAGTGGTGGATCTTGGGTATAGCGTCTACCAAGGCGTCAGCAATGCGAGTGCCGGCTTGAACGTCTTCAAAGGGTGAGATGCATCGCTTGAGAGCTGATAAGGCACTAAGGCACAAAGACACAGCTGACTAGTTGCACAGCATACGTTTTGCCCAGGCACCGGTCGGTAGCCTCAGATGGCAGGCTCCTCGTGCTCCCGCGGTCAATCGCAGCGAGACTATCCAGGCGACAAGCTACGCACCGCAGTGTCCACAGAACCCGGATGCATCGACTACGATCGAAGCTACCAATAACACGCTGTCCAGCGAGGACTGTCTGTTCGTGAGTACACTTAGCAAGGCTCTCGTCTTCGTAGGCGTGGAGACATGCACGCAGCTGATGACCTCACTCCGATAGCTCAACGTCTGGAGCCCAAGCAACGCAACAGGCCCACTGCCCGTTTTCATCTGGATCCATGGCGGCGGCTATGGCGCGGGCAACGGGCAGCAAGACCTTACTGCCTTCATCACCGGCAATGACAATGCATTCGTCGGCGTGGCAATCCAGTATCGGGTACGCATATACCAGCCTCTGCGCTCCTTCGGTGCATACTGACCCGCGTGCTAGCTGGGTGCCTTCGGCTTCCTCTCATCTGACGAGGTCTACCGTAAAGGCGTTGTCAACGCAGGCATTCTCGACCAGCATATGGCTCTTCAATGGGCGCAACAATATATCCACCTCTTCAACGGCGATCCGACGCAGGTCACTATCGCCGGCGAGAGCGCGGGAGGTGGCAGTGTTATGCTGCAAGACATGGCTTACGGTGAGCCTCAAAGCTTACCTCCCCTAGATCATGTCTCGAATGCTGATACAGAACGCTCAGGTGGCTCCTTGGGAACCGAGCTCTTCAGAAACACCATCGCCGCGAGCCCTTATTTGCCTATGCAGTACGGCTATAAGGACTGGATTCCGAGTCAGAGCTACTATGCCTTTGCCTCTGCGGTTGGGTGTGCCCCGTAAGTCGATCGATGACACATCCCCACCCTCACTCACACCTCCATCAACGTTACCATCCTCACGTCCCAAAATTGGGCTCAATCCTTTTGCCCAAGCATGTTCGGTTAAATCACGACCTCCAACTGCCTCCCTACTAAATCGCGATCCATGTTCGTGAAAGAGACTAACTGTAACTCATCTTACAGGTCCACTGCTTACTTGTCGGACTCCTCGCAAGCCAACGTATCCCAGCCGATCTTCGAGTGCCTGCTCGGCAAGGACTCTGCGACCCTCATCAATGCGAGCGCAGTAATCTCCCAGTCCGGCTCCTACGGCACTTGGGCGTTCCTCCCAGTGACCGATTGGGTTTTTGTCCAAGACCTACCTAGCAGACAACTAGGCCGCAAACAAGTGAACGGTGTCAACATGCTTGTGGGGAACAATGCAGACGAAGGCTATTACTTCACGCCTCAAGACATCACGACCGAAGATGACTTGGTATCATACCTACAGGTCACATTCCCGCTGTTCTCCAACAACGATATTGCCAAGGTCCTCTACTACTACCCCTCCAGCAATGCGTCGGTCGACCCGAGTGCCCTACTGTTCGCGACTGAGGGTGATACCGGCCCTACGGCGCTCAACCAAAGTTCGACCGGCACGGGGCAGCAAGAGCGTGCTGACCTTATCTACGCCGAAACGACGTTCGTTTGTCCGTCTTACTGGATGGCGGAGGCGTATAGTGACAACAAGTACGGCGGACAAGGCTGGAGGTACCAGTTCTCCATCGCTCCTGCGCTGCACGGAAGTGATGTTGCTGGATATTTTGACTATCCCGGGGAGTTCTATTCCGTCGACTTCACGACGGCCTTCCAACGCATATGGGGCAACTTCGTGGTGCACTCCAATCCGTCGATATCGAACGCTGTCGCGAATGGAGTGACCTCTGGGAATACGACAGCTAATGCGGCCAGCAGCTGGCCGCCGTACTCTCTCTACGCTCCGTACCAGCTGGATCTGAACACGACGTGCCCGGTACTCACGATCAACGCTGCAGGACTGCCCGGGTGCGAAAGCGCTGAGGAAGTGAATGAAATCAGACTCGTGAATGCGTATACGTGGGAAGGTGGCCGCGGAACGAGGTGCGACTTCTGGCGGTCAGTGGGTGAGCTTGTGCCTGAGTAAGTCGGCTAGGAAGCCTTGGCAGGCGATGGCAGCAGCACGATGATCGTTGTGGTTTTTGGTCTCGTGATATCGACTGCGCGGTGGGCGCTTTGTACATCCTCATCGGCACTGCGGGAGGGTCTTCTTGGTCAGACCACGCACTCATATGTAAGTGCGAAGTCACGAGCAAAACCGCATCCCAGCCACTGTGCATATCTGCAGCATTGAGTCTTCGCAGTCTTCGAAAGACTGAATAAACTTGTGTTTACTCCGCTTTGGTTCCTATGCTACCCAAGTACCGGCGCTGCCGCCAAAATATGTTTCGAACAGGATTGTTAAACAGTCTAGAACTTTACTGCATGATGGTGCAACATGGTCTGCCCACGGCATATAGTGACATTGACTTCCTTCAGTAGGGATTTTGCTGTCGCCTACGCAGGAACACCTGCGCAAGATCGCTCCAGTATGTCTGCGACGATACTCATGTTCGCCATGGGCATGAGGGTAGACTTTTGCGTGGATGTCACCATCACCCCTATCACGATCTATCCAAACGGATTCATTACCATCATGACCACAGCAGCAGCACCCCCGGAACGACAACAATTTGCCATTGAAACCTCACTCCGTCCGACAGGCTACGGCGACTGCATCGGTCGCGATTGCGGACCGCAGAACTACTGGCCGTCTCAGATCCCGACCATCTACACCACGATAACCAAAAACATGGGCACGACGGTGGAGGCGACCGACAACGCTACGCCAGTGCAGTGGACGACTAAGCGCGGATTCACAAACGCAGTCTGATAATGCTGGAGGGCACATGGGAGTCTGCATACTGGTATTTCTGAGGCATGCCTTTTGCTGGCGCTTTACTA